CAACACAACTGTTTCACCCAAAGACGGCAAACAAGACTTCCGATGCTCTCTCAAAACTGCCCAACAAAGCCTCCAGACGCTCCAGGAGGACCCACGATGGTCACACAACGGCCCGGGAGGCCCCAAACACTGCCCAAAATCACAATGGGTCTACGAGCCTCGCTGAACTTCCGCGGGGCGTGGACTCTACTTCCTACCGCGCGGGCGAGAACGAGGTCGAACTTGCGTACGAAGGCGAAGTCGAGTTTATGACCCGCCCCAAATCAGACCACTCGCTGGAGTGCCGTGGGGCGCGAACTCTTCCTTCTTCCTGCCACGCGGACGACGACGAACTCGAGTTAACGACGCGCCCCAGTCGCCCGCCTCCCTTCCCCTCTCTCCGTAGCCGACTTTGGGCCATTTCTGTTTGACATGACTGTTTGGCGGAACCCTTTTCCTAGAGAGCCCCCGCGAGAGAGGATAAAAACAGCCAGGAATAGCAAAGACAACAACAACACCCCAAACAAAGAAACACTATCAACAAGCAACAACAACAAAACCACCCACAGATAGCCCAGGCTGGCAGAGCATAGCCCAAGACAATCGTTCTCGCTCCAAGACTATCAGAAGGCCTCCAATGCGGTCCCAAGACTGCCCAAACACACCTTCAGGCGCCCGAAGATGGCCGCAATAAGGCCCAAGACGGCCCCAGATGCCCCCGAGACGTGCCAAGAGGGCTCCAAGAGGACGCCCGATGGGCCTTCGAGAATAAGTGTTCACTCGCATTTGTATAATGCTTGTACTTCTGGGTCTTTTTGGTTTTCGAAATCCCAAGACGGCCCACAGTGTCCCCAGGAGGGTCCAAAGACAGCCGCCTAATAGGGCTCCAAGAAGACCCTCAGGCGGGCCCAAGGGGGGGGGGGGGGGGCAAGACGGACCCAAGATGTCTCCGAGACGGCCCAACAGGCCTCCAAGGAGGCCCCAAGAGGGGTCCAAGGGGGGGATATCGAGATGGCCTTGACATCCTCCGTTTCCTTCAGGGTTGTCCCCAAGAGCCTCAACGAAGCCCCCAACACGTTCTCCAGAGGTCGCAGCGATCTCCAATACGCATCCCAGAGGTCCCCCATACAGGCCACCAGGGGCCTCCCAAACGGACCTCAAAAGCTCTCGAGAGGCTTTCCAGAGGTCCCAGAGCAGGTCCAACATACGTCTTTAATTCAACCTACTTCTCGCTGCGCTGTTGCACTGGCGCGGTGGCTGGGTTTGCCAAAGGCAACTGGATATTCATGGAATGCGGGCTCGTAACTTAGCGGGCGAAGAACGCTATAACATACACTGTTCTGCCGTCGGGGACGCCTGCCCCTCGGCCGGCTGCAAAGTTTATACCGCCACGGTGGCAAATTTGGGTACGTATGAACTTCCCAGCCGCCCTGGGACAAGCGTCCCCGATCGCGGAACAGTTCATTTTATACCGTTCTTCGTCCGCTAAGTAACATCCGAACGTCATTATACCAAACCGTACCCTGCCACGTCAAACGGCATCACGCATGGTTGTTGGCTGTGCGCGGCTCGAGGCACTGCTCTGCCATTCCTGACCATCGTGCCAGATAGGGCAGACTGAAGAAATGCACACACACTAAGCAAGATTGCAAGCCGGGTGGCGAAGCAAACGGGCAATGACGCAACACTGCGCTGGACAATATTGTCGCGGGAGTCGTAGGAGCAAGCTCGACGCGAATCAGATATTAAACGCAGGGGCAGAACTGGTTAGTCGGCGAAATTTTTATTGTTCATAAGGATCCAAGACAATTCAGGAATGATCTGGGGGATACATTGCTTGAGACGAGAACTTTGTGCGCCAACTCACCAATCAAGCCAGATCAAGTTCGGAATGCCTGCGCGATTCCCTTGATCAAGCCTGCAATGTCAGGGCACCCTAATCGGGGTCATTGATAAACCAAGACACTGGAGCGCCCAGGAAAACTGCAACCGTTGCTTGAAGCATTCGCAGTGCTTCGGTCCTTCTACCTGAAAGTGTGGAAATCCTGGTTAGTAGCTTCCTGGTTTAGGGGGCCCTGACTATGGTCCGCCACAAGCGCGCCGGCGCCGTCACGCTGGCGCCAGCGACCCTGACGAAAACTGAAGAAACATTTCACTGGCTGGCCATCGATTTTGCGAGGCGTATGCCTCGAAAGGTAGGATTTCCCTGGGCAAGGGCAGAAACGCGGGCAGCAATCTGCTCGACCCTCGTCTCCAAGCCTAACTCGCCATGGTTACATGCAGAACGGCCATTAATCAACGCATGGCGCCTCGTAGTCGAGGCTGTCCCTGCCTGCGCTTGATAAAAGAAAGAAAGATCAGCCCCCCGCCCCGCGACGCAACAGGACAGTAGCGAGCGCAAGCTCAGGAGTCGTGGCGCCTTGTTCGAGAGATACTGACTAAGAACGGTGCGATTGACGACGATGCATACAGTTGTGAGCAACAAGGAGATGATGATCATGCTGCCCAACGGGAAAGGGAAGAGTATAACAATGATGGGCAGGTGGAGGGGATGATGGGGATGGAGAAGACAGAAGCGAACAAGGCCAGCCCGACTGGCGGGGGGGTTCCTGGATCAAACAATACGGTTGGCAGAAAACCAAACTTTACAAACGTGTGACGCTGATTCCCAGGTCGCATCCAGCGTTGGAGCTCAAGTCGCTCTGATCCCAGCATGAGGCGGCACACGTATGGAGTAGATGGGCACATCCCTTAGGGACCTGACCTCACACAAACATACGACGGTCCTAGAAGATTGCCTCGTGAAGAATGCTGCAATGAGATCCCTCCGCCTCCTGTCCCAAACCTCCGACGACTCTTATTTTTCGAGACGCCAACCTCTTATCCCGACCCCGTCCCCGAGGACATGTTTTCCGTCCCGTGTTCCTAACCATCCTGTGCTAAATTGGGTCCTCGTTTTGAAGAGACAATCCCCGCGTCTCCTTCCTTCCTCTCCTCCGCCGTCCCTCCATCCTTCCATCCTTGCGTCTGCCCTCCACATGTCAACCTGTTCGCCACACACTTCACACATTTCGTGGCTCCAGCTCCACCGAGGGCCTCCGCGGTGTTTTCGCAAGCGTCCACCCGGCCATTTCGGCAAGCCCCTCACACGTTTCCTGGCCCATGAAGAGCTCCACCGAAAGGCCTCAGTGGTGAGTTCGCCTGCGTCCCCCCGATCCATGTTGGCGCACCCCTCCCACATTTCGTGGCCCCAGAACGAACTCCACCGCGAGGGCCTCCGCGGTGGTTTGGCATGCGTCCGCCCGACCTGTTTCGGCACGCCCCTCCCACGTTTGTTGGCCCCATGAGGAGCTCCACCGAAAGTCTCCGTGGTGACTTTGCATGCGTCCTCCCGACCCATATCGGCACACCCCCCGAGGGCCTCCACGGTGGTTTCGCATGTGTCCGCCCGAACCATTTCGGCACACCCGTCATGGCCCCATAGGGAGCTCCACCAAAGTCCTCCATTGTGAATGCGCATGCGCCTGCCCAGCCCATGTCGGCACACCCCTCACACATTTCGTGGCCCCATACGGAGTTTTACAGAAGGCCCCACTGGCGCAATTCGCATGCGTCCGCCCTACCCATGTCGGCACACCCCTCACACGTTTCGTGGCCCTATAGGGAGCTCCACCGAGGGCCTCCGTGGTGAGCTTGCATGCGCCCGCCCGACCCATATCGGAACACCCCTCACACGGTCCCCGGCGCCATAAAGAGCTCAACCGATGGCCTCCGTGGTGAATGAGTTCGCATGGGTCCGCCCGACCCATGTCGGCGCACCCCTCACAAGTCTAGTGGCCCCAGAAGGAGCTCCACCAAGGGACTCCGTGGTGAGTTCGAAGGCGGCCGCCCGACCCATTTCGGCACGCCACTCGCACGTTTCCTGGCCCCATGGGGGCTCCACCGGGGGGCTCCGTGGTGAGTTCGGCCTCCGTGGTGAGTTCGCATGCGTCCGCCCGACCCATATCGGCACACCCCTTACACGCTTCGTGGCCCGTTGGGAACTCCACTGAATGCCCCAATAAAAGGGTTCACATGCCCGTCCTTTGTCTCACCTGCCGCGCGGTACTCACACCTGCAAACGGTTGGGTTCTTCGCCAAGATTTTTTTTGCGGTCCCAGGTCGCAGAAATTGCCTTCAGACGCCGAACGTTGAGAAGAACATCGGGCGCCAATATCATAGTTGCCAGAGGTATGGGGTTGTTCCTTCCAGGAACGCGAAACCTTACGACCACAAGGTGGGGGGTTAACGGGGATAGCTCGACCTGGCCCCCAATTCCCAAGTGTAAGAACCTCAGGGGGCGCCTTCTGGGGGGGTCTCTTGCTTGTAGCGCTGGCAATAACTGCTCATCCTCCCGCTCACCTCCTCCTTCGCCTCCTCCCTCTCCTCTACCCCTTCCGTCCTGCCCTTCCATTCCAATTGCCAAAGGCCAACGCGGCACAATCGGTCTGTCGACCGCGAAAAATCTTCCACCTAACTCAGCTCAAAAAATCATGATTGTGAAACTTCCTCTTCGTGGGCGTAGCTATGCGTTGCAACTGCGGCGGAGAAGATCGTCCAACCTGCTGTCCAATCGGCGGCTGTCTGCGGGAACCGTCGTCCACGGCTTGCCGGTATTCCAGTCTTCCTTCTCCTTCTCCTGCTGAGACCAGGAACGCCCGGAGGCATCCCTCAAGTCAGACAAATCTCGGAACATAGTGGCATGTCAAAAGCTTCGAAACCTTCTCCCTCCCTCTTCCTTCTCCCTCCTCCTTTTCCTCATCCTCCGTCTTCTTACTCTTCTGCTTCTTCTTATTATTGTTCTTCTTCTTCTTCGTCTTCTTCTTCTTCTTCCTTCTGCGCCTCCTCGTCCTCCTCCCTCTCCTGCTCCTTCCTCTCCTTCCTCCTCCTCCTCCTCCTCCTCCTCCTCCTCCTCCTCATACTCCTCCTCCGCCTTCTACTCCTCCTCCTGGATGGGCGATTTACTGCTCGTGGCGCTGGCCCTAGCCTGGCCAGAGTGGCATCAAGCGCCCAGGCATGGGGATCTCTGGCTGCGTCGAGGCGAACTTGAGGCGTCTGTGCAGGGAGGCCTCCTGGAGGGGGAGGAGGAAACAATGAGAACGAGAGGTGCTGGAGGAATGACGAGGATGAGGAGGATTATCAAGATGGCGAGAGGGAGAGCAGCAAGAGGATGATGATGATGATGATGATGATGATGATGATGATGATGATGAGGATGATGCGGTAATGCTGCTGATGATGCTGATGATGATGCTGATGATGATGATGCTGATGACTCCCCATACAACGCTTGCACAACAACATACCTACCTTACTTGCTTTTCACAGTTCTTGGCTGCCGGCTCTGAATTTTCGCACGGTGCCACCCCGAAGGCGACTCGTGGGCACCTCGTGCTTGGGCTCGCCGTTCCAAATTTTCGCCCAGTGCCTGCCAGTGGGCGCCTCCTGTGCTGGCGCGCAGTTCCGTATTTTCGCTGACTGCCCGCTCGTGGGGGCCGCGTGGGCGCCTCGTGCGGCATGGCGGTTTTAGTATTTCGATCGGTGCAGACCCCTGGACGCCTCGTCAGCTGGCTGGCGTCTCCGAGGGCACGCGTGAATTCTCACTTGTAACACGATAAAGGAGGGAAGCGCTGTGCAGGTCTTCTTTTCAAGCGCGGCCACTCGTAACGATACCAGTTTCGCCAAATGGAAACGATACTTTTGTAAATCCTTCAACAACTAAATGTTTTCACTGGTTTTGCGAAGGTGTGAATCACATGTGATATAGGTTCCAGACTGCAGCGACAGACCATCGAGTATGCAGGACAGAAAACACAGTATACAGGGGCACGAGGAGTCACCTACAGAGTATCGACAACTCAGTACAGTGTGTAGATGCCACAGTGTAGAATCCACAATATACGGTGTACAGCACAGCGTGCACGATTTATCTCAACAGAGCAGGTGGAGTACAGAGCTTAGAAAAACGAGGGTACATAAACACACACACAGACATACATATATACATATGTGTATACATATACACATATACCTCTCTATATATAATTATGTATACACATGCGTGTATGCATGTATGCATGCATGCATGTTTGCATGCATGTGTATATACATAATCAGGTGGGAGGACGAAACTGGTCACATACGATCCTTCTCTTTTTCCCTTTCATCTTTCATAGTCTCACGTGTCTTGCTCTTCCGCCAATCTCTTCATCCTTCCCTTCTTCATTCTCCTCCACATTATCTTTGACTTCCTCCTCCTCCTATTTCTCCTCCACCTCCTCTTTCATCCTCATATTTTTCCACTCTCTCCTCCTCTTCCTCTGCCTCTTACCCTCTTCCTCACTATCCTCCCTCATATTCTCCTCATCCTCCTCCCCCCGAAAGATTTCCACGACGCCCAAGACGGCCCCGAGACTCCTGGCCTTGCCCCGCTCCTTGAAACCCCATTCGGGGAAAATCCGCCCGCCCCAGGAGGCCCCAGGGCGGCCTCGGGAGCTTCCGGGGGGGAGGGGGAGGTGGGGGAGGGCCAGGGGGTCTCAGGAGATCCCGAAAGATCCCGAGAGCTCATAGGCGGGCTCAGGATGATGTACAATACAAACCCCTGACGGGGCATTTCCGCCGTGGCTCAACAGCGCGGGAAAAGGGGAGGGGACAATTAATTGATTCTTTATTTATGCAAGGGTAAACAATGCGATGACGATGAAAACGGATAATAAAAGAAGGGTGCAAGAGGAGGAGGAAAAGAGGAAATAGCCCACGCTTGTGACCCACCCACGGTGGGGTCGGCGGGAGCGCACGCCTGTTCCCCCCCGCCAGATGTGGGGATAGCGGACCTCGAGCACCACCCAAGCCTTCATATTTGAGAGCAATGGATCTAAACCTCCGGGGGATCACCAAGACGGCCCAAAACGTTCGCAAGATGCCTCAAGAGATCCCGGAGAGACCTCCCAAGAGAGCTCAAGAAGCCCAAAAATGGCATGCATAAGAATTGTAATTGATAGATAAATGAATAATGGGCGCAGTACTAATATCAAGAACTATCTGACGGGACCTTATGGAGATATGAACAAAAACATACAGCGCGTCAGCAGAGTATTTGTGGATATCCAGCTTGGCATTATCATCATTGTTATGGGACTGGGCTCGAGAGTCACCCTTAAGTTGGATTCTCCCACAACGCCCCGAAAAGAACGGCTGCTCTGGGAATCCGCTTCCCTGTGGAAGCAATGTCCGCCTCGACTATTCCGCCGCGCCCACCGGCCGCCTCCACGCAGGACCCGTCGTTCATCTCATCTTGGTGTTTCCGGTTTTCCAGGATGCTTTACGTGATGTGTTCTACGTATTTCTTCGGCATCCTCACCGTCACCACAGCAAACACGCAAGTAGCAATAGTCATCGTAATTCTAGTAGTATTAATAGTTGCTGTTTTGTGGGTGTTGATGTAATATTAGTAGCAGTGACAGTAATGGGCGAATCGCAGCGACATGACTTTACATAGAAAACAAACCCAACTGCGCCAGATACCCCGCCGGTATCTGGCGCAGCCGCGTCGTAGAAAAAGCATAGTTTCAATGTTTGCGTTTCGTATGAACTCCGTACTGATTTAGTGTATTGGCGAATACGTTATGCTCCGATTTTGCTCCTTCACTAACAAGTTTATCCTTTCCTTTAAAAGAACAAACTCACTTGTACCATATACCACGTTATGTACCGATTCGTATTCACGCTAGTATGTAACTTTGTTTGGCTTCTATTGCAAATGTAGCTGCCGCGGATAGGCCCAGGATTCGAATCTCCATTTGTATTTTGTTGTACGCCATGGCGTACGAATCTACTTACTTTGAAGGCGGAGCCGCGACGGGGCCCATGCCTAACCTGCCTCCTTCCATCCCTTGGAACAAACTAGGACAACGTCAACAAGATCGTATTGCCAACGGCGGGGATTCGGGGAGTGTTGAATATCATTACATCCTGCTTTAACTCATCTTCTGATAATACCAATGCGTTTTAGCATTCTCCCTCCCGTGTGTTCACCTAGAGGACAACATCCGTATCTCGTACAACTTCCAATGCGCCTGGAAGAAGTGGAGCTTCCAGCGCTACGATGGTTATTTGGGATACGTTAGATATACACACAAATATACTTTGTATAGATGTTTGCCGTTGCTCGGTCTAGGTTTAAAAAAGAATTTGCGTTCGTGCCCCCGCGGGTGGACCGAGGGGACACGTTCGCGCTTCCTGAAACCAGGAGAGCTCGGCCAAAATGGCGCAACAGTATAGCTAGCGTTTCCACAGGGCAGATCATGCTGTGCAAAAGCCCGCCGATGACAAACTGGAATGGCTGGCGGTCCGCCCTCTTCGCACTGTTCAAGCGACTGCCGTCCTCGTGAACTTTTGCCAATGCACGCGCCAGCTTTCCGTGCGGGTGACGGCGGGGCACTCGCAGAATTTGGTGCAGGATCTCGACCAGTACATTGTCCATTACTCCTCTACTATCTCGTCCGTCAGCGTATCTTTGTTATTTTAAGCTTTCAGAGCAGGAGTAAACAGCAATATATGAAAAAGCCCCTTCAATCAGCTGTCTGCCTACACCGTTGAAATCCATGTAAAAAAATCTAAAAACACGCGTTCGGTAGGAGCTGGCCTTGCCAGATCATCGGCCCATCGAGCTGAAGATCAACCGGCAGCAGGTGAGCAACGGCAAGCAGGCGGCTCCTTGCTTCAACCTGAGTCGGAAGCGCCGCCGCTGAGCCGCCGTGGCCCTCCGTCTAGGTCCGGTGCTTTTCGAGTTTGCATCGTGATTTCATTGCGCGCGCTGGTTGAGGCAGCTGGCATATGAGCTGGATAGGCACCGAAGATCTCGTATAGTTTGAGGCAGCAGTTAAAGGGTTGTAGCGTGATAGCGAGAGTCAGAGAGTTTCAGTCTTTTCGTTCGATCGATCGGAGGAGAGGGGAGGGCGTTGCCGCCGACTGCCTCGAGCGATCATCCGATCTTCAACCGGGAACTTTGAGTTGTTGTTATCTTTTCGATTCGGTATATTTGCTTCGAGGCAAAGGAATTTCAAGGCCAATGCCCATCGTCTATATCTCGAGCGCACCTCCAATCTACCACGGCAGAAATAAGTGTCTCATGTGCCTCAAAAGCACTGCGCATTTACATGCCAACGCAAATGTATGCGCGACGTGCATCTCCGCGCACCCATTCGCAACGCAACCTAAATATGCCATGTTAGAGATCGACGGTGGGGCGGCGTGGCGGGCCGCGGCTCCGAGCAACGCCCAGCGCGAGCCAAAACAGCCCGCTCCCCGGCAGCCCTCGCGCGGTGGCGCTCGCACTCGGCGGCGCCGAGGTGGCGGCCCTCTTTCATGCCGGCCTCGTGACGCGCCAGACCCTCTTGGCTGCTGAGCGCAGGTTGAGCGAGATGGGGCTGCTCACCGATCAGAACAGCCTTATTTGGATGAGCTCCGGCGTCGATGCTGGCGCCGCGGCGACGGCTCCAGTGCCGGCCAAGGCGCCGCCGCCGGCCGCGCCGGCCAAGGCGCCGCCGCCGGCCGCGCCCCCGAGCCCACCGCCGGCAAGGAAGCGCCGCGCTGGTCTCGGGACCCATGGATGGACGGAGGCGCCGCGGTTAAAAACGCCGCCATCATCACCACCACCGCCGCCTGACCAACGTCATCTCATCCGATGTTGAGTCGGTGCGGGGCTCCCGCTGGGCGCGCTACGCGTGCCTCGACCACGCGCGCGTGCTCCTGAGCCTGATGTTCTGTCGACGCTGCTGAGGGCGGGGGCCGATGCACCTTCGGGATTTCGAATGCTTCGTCGAGGTCCGCGAGGTTCTTCGTCTCCCAGCCCGCGGCAGTGGCGGCAGAATATCTATCGCCAAGGTCTTGGATGGCTGGGGGACGTACTATTCGGACAACAGTTTCACCGCGCTGTTCTTCTTTTGCAGCCCCGCTGGCGCGAGCGCGTGGCACCCTCCGAGCGACGACATCAGCGCGGCGGGTGGCTCCTGGGTGCCTTGGCTTCTGTCCGATTTAAATGCTGATTGCGGTGATGTTACTTTGCTCTATC